CCCCACCACGGCCTTCCGCCCCCTCAACTCGTATTGTGCTATGTAGAATTATCCTTTAAGTAATCACTACTTCAAACTAGAACAATCAACTATAATATGGACATTTAAATCAATTAAATATACCATATTAATACTTCATCCGTGCCAAGGCAGACCGACGTATATCTGCAAAAATTATTAATTTTTGTATTTTCGTTTAAATGAACGCCTATACCAGTTCTGCATCTTCTGTCAAAGGCATAAGGGTGTATCTGCACTACAAATAGGATATTTCCAATGGCAGCACGACGTAACTCAAAGTCATAAAAGTGCAGATACGACTGTTCTGCCCTGGCACGGCGCCTACCACTAGATGTTGTTAAGCAACCCTATCGCTGTTTTAACTGTTTATCCAATACTCAATTTTTTACAATAGCAGATCTCGACATAGACACTCTTAATCATTATTTTGAGCTAATTCTATTTTTTTCTTCTTCTATGACCCACTTTCAGCCATTCATTATATAGGCCTTTATATACATATATTATATAGTTTGGTGAGTTTGCGAGTCAACACCCAAATCACATTGTTAAAATGTAGGCCTACCACATTCATTAAAATGAATAAATAAATAATTAAATAAATAAATAGATAAGTATAGGTAAATAAGTAAATAATATTGACATCTGTGCGATAATATTTAGACCGAGCAAGCAATATATCAAACATGAGGGACTTTGCAGACCTGATATCACCCTTTACAGGAATGTGTGAGAGCTTAAAAAACAGAAAGCAGAAGAGATGGGGTGGGTTTTTTTGGTTTTTTGTTTGTTTGTTTGTTTGTTTGTTTGTTCAAAGATAGGCCCTCCTTCTTGCATATCCAACGCATGCTATCGTCTTCTCTCCCCTCACTCTTTTTGTGTTTGTTACTTTCTTGTAACACCACTAATCTTCGACACTTATACAGGCCCTCTTATAAATTATGACCCGATGTGTTGTAAGTGCTGTAAATACGCCTACAAAAACCAAAGGTACAATGTAATTCATTGGTACCAAATATATTCCATGCTTTGTTATCATTTTGTTTTTTCCTGTTGTTGTTTTGGGGTTTTGTGAGAGTGACTGTGAGTGTGTGTGTGTGTGTGT